AAAACTTCAATGTAAGCCAGACAACCTCCTGCAATTGGACCCAAGTCAGAGAGAAAGGCTCGAGCAGCATGGACTCCATAGTCATCATTGCTAATGAGCAGACCTGCCCACGTCCAACCAAAGTGTTTTAGAATCTGAATCATTGCACGGACCTATGTGGACACAGAGAAGAGGAGTCAGTTTACGAGCTGTAATAATTGATCATTAAAAATCTTACCAAAGTCAGTGGTGTTTTTGAGACCACAGCACTCTAATTGTTGAATTGTTTAGAAGTGTCTAAGATTTATTTAGTTTTATGCATGCCTCAGCCAAAAGTACATTTTACCTGAAATGAATCACTGGGAATCGTCCTAAAAAAGGATGGAAACTTTTCTCGGTCACTCAGACAGGAACATGTGGCAAAATAACTGACCTGAGGAAAAGCAGACATGTTTTATATCCAAATAATTCCTCTCTGCAATGCATTTGAAAATGAATCACTGTTACACTTACCAGAGGGACTCTGTACAGACCTACAACCGTGGAGATGGCAATAGTAGATGTAGAGAAGGAATCACCAACAATCCCTAGGACTGGAAGACCTACACAGGTCTCCTCTGATGCCATCTCTCCTGCTTGACCACTGATTAAGGACATTGCTGCACGGAATCCAGTTGCTAATTCAATGCAGTTATCATAGAGACTGTATCCCAGAGTAACATTAGAGAGCAGGTTGGGGTTTCTGTTGATCTCATCAATAGCAAAGGCCATGGTCTGAGCCTGTCTGAATCCTGAAGGATGAAATCTAACACAAGTAAATATGATAATGAGCATAAGGTGTATATATGAATATGTATATACATATAAAAATAAAACATGTACTCATATACAGTATTTGAAAGCAAAATGAAAAAAATAATAAGATGAAATTATTGTAGTTTTTCAGCCATACACTCACCCATAGCAGACAGACTCCTGTGGCTCTGAGGTAAAAGACAGGTCAGGAACAGTAGAAAAGAAATTGATCGCAAACAATCCTCCTAGAATTACATCTCCAGTCTGGTGAATCCCATTCAAGTCGAACTGTCCTTGTAACTGACAGGTAAATGAATACAGAGGTGGAAATCTAACTGTGAAAACACAGACAAAGATTAATAAAAAAGTCATCTCTTGAAATGATACCATGGCTTTTCTTCAACTTCTCCCCTCCACCAAGTGAAGGTGTATCACTGTGTAACTCTATTTAATGGATCTACATGACTTACTGAGGTGATACCACCCATTTGGGAGATGGTTTCAGGGCAGGACCATGGATAGATAATTACTGAAACAGGGCAGTTTTAATGATATGAACATGATGGACACTTTTTATTTTTTGACAGTGATGGTTGAAAATGAGCTTATGCTTTGTAATGTCAATTAAAAGCCCACTTATTTACGTTACCAATAAACGATCTGATGGCATTCTATAGTAACACTATAGTAACAAATAAGTTTTGGTAGAACATTGATGGTAATGGCTGGTTCTTGATAAGATATTCACAAAAAACAAACAAAGGAAGTAAAATGTGAATATTGTACAGTTTGTTTGTAGTATATTTAAACAAATTCATATTAACAAGGCCAAGTAGACTGGTGGGGGTATGGGGAATGGTGTGTGAGTGAGTCAATAAACGTTGCCCTGTTGGGCTCATATAAAGTTTAGCAACCTAGCATACAGTGAAATCTTTATGCATCTCTTGCGTGTGTGTCCCGGTGTCTCCTTTAAGTGTTGCACATAAACAGAGCTGTGCGTTGTTGTGGCTGAGGGCGAATGCGTTGATCATCTTGTTGACATTCAGGGCTCGTGTGTTTTTAATATTGATAGCCAAAATTCTATGGCCATGAATCCCACCTCCGCTGGGCACACAAACACTTTCCAGCCCCGACCCTCTACTTCAGCTGCCAAGTTGGCATAACACAGCTTTTTCCTTTCGTACACCTAATCAACAGCTTCCTCCCACGAGGACTGTCAACTCAACAATGTGGTGGTGTCCCGCCTAAGTTGTTCCACCTGTGACCAAGGCTTTTGATTGTCTTCTCTATGATCCTTGGTATTGGTTCATTGTTATATGAAACCATTTGTTGGTTTCTTAACAATTAAAATTCTGTGGGATTTACTGTAGTTGGTGTCCTAACTCCTAGTGATGTCCTAACTTGCCCATCTGATGTTACCCTGGAGTTTCCACAGTAGGCGTCTGGTGCATGCTTTCGTTGAACATATAGTTGTGATCATCCATAAATGCTCTGATCGGAGGGAGGCACAGCCCACTCTCAGGCATTCACCTCCAACCACCCACGGAGAAGTTGTATATTAATTCCACTGCTATGGCGAAGGCCAGTGAGGAGATGGTGCAGCCTGCAATTATGCCAACTTACAACTGTTGCCAGTCAGTTGTACTGTCTTTGGTGGTGATGCAGAACTGATGGTCTTCAAAATTGGCCTTGTTATGCCCTCAGTCTTGGAAAAAAACTGAAAACTGTCCACAGCAACCCATGAGGTACTGACCTTAAGTCATTGGCCAGGTCTAAAAAGACCACATGCAGCTCTTTCTTGGCCATTTGTATCTGGTGCCAGATGATATTTGCGTGTTCCAGGCATCCTGACAAACTTCTTATCCCTGCCTTTCACACCACGGTGTCAACATAGTTGTTCCCCTGTAGGAAAGATGAAAGTCTTTGGGCCACAACACTGAAGCTCTTTTTCTTCCACATTCAATAAAATAAATGTTTTTTTGCCTTGGGCTCTGTTCCCTCCTGTCACTTCAGGTTGTCAACAGGTCTTTCCCGAGTTGTCAGCTACCTTTTCACAGGAATCACTGGTTCCAAGCCAGGGTTCAGTATGTGTATTAGGACTAGATGTTAGTATCCCTGAAAGTTGATACCCAATACCTACCTCAATACCAATTTTCTGGTAATCAGTAATATAATTAATTTAATTTAAGACATTTTCAGAGATAGATACAAAAAGACAGATAAAAAGCACATGAAATAAAATGTAATAGAAATATGTTTTATTTAATCAATTTTATTGGGTTTAGTTTTGGTTGTATTAGGACATTTTTGTGATCCAAACTTTAGGGAGCAAACGTACCTGGGCACAGTGTGACGGCCCTAGTGTGAATGCACCTTAAAAGTTTGCAATGGCCAAGGGCAGGTGTTAAATGTAAAATTTGGTGAACAAGGTAGGGGCTGTAACTGTAATGAGACAAGCTGTTAAAATGCAAAACACCCAGAAGATAAAAATGTCCTGCTATGAAGAAAAAGTACCTTTGTTTAATCTTGCATAACTGTAGTTAACGGGTTATTGACTCATTTAATCTGCTTGGACAACTAGAAGCTTGTGTGAAAGAGAGACCAACTTTCTCAATTACGCTATTCTAAAAAAATGTGAACAATTGCTGTATAATGGTATTTAAATTTTATTCTAATGTCTACTAATCACTGTACCTGTACTTCTGTAGATTGCATGGATAACTAATATAGTAAATCTCCTGCAGCATTTATGATCCAGCTTTTCGACCCATGATGGCTTTCTTGGTATTCCTTTCTGGTCTGAAAATAATAATGTAACATTTTGGTCCAAACAGTGCCACCAACAGGCCAAAACTAGAGGCCAGGATGGCAAACACCTCTACGGCATCTGCATATTTCCCTGGTGAGCTGATATAGGCAGGGACAAAGGCCACCCACACTGCACAGAAGATTAGCATGCTGAAAGTTATGAATTTAGCCTCATTGAAACTGTCTGGAAGTTTTCTTGCCAAAAAGGCTAACAAAAAGCTTAGGATTGCTAGTAAACCAATGTAACCAATCAAGACTGCAAAACCAACAGTGGAGCCAATGACACACTCATACACAATCTTTTCACTGTGATACTGGGTGTTTTTATGAGGTTTGGGTGAGGCAGAAACAAGCCAGGTAGTGCAGATCGCTGCTTGAACAAAAGTAAGAGCCAGAACTGTTCCTCTCTGCTGTAATGCACCAAACCACTTCATACTGGCTTCACTTCCTGGTTTTGAGGCTCTGAACACAGCCAGAACAACAATAGTTTTAACTAAGATACAAGAGACACAAAGAACAAAGCTGATGCCAAACGCTGCATGTCTTAGTTGGCATGTCCATAATCTGGGTCGTCCAATGAAGAGCAATGAACACAAGAAACAAAGTTTGAGTGACAGCAGTATAAGGTAACTAAGTTCTGAGTTGTTGGCGCGAACAATAGGTGTGTTGCGATGACAAATAAAGATGCTGAAAACAACAAGACAAACAAATGTGCCCAGCACTGATGTGGTTGTCAGGCAGATACCCAGAGGCTCATGGTAGGAGAGGAATTCAGTTTTTTTAGGAACACAGTGGTCACGCTGGGGACTGGACCAGAAATCCTCTGGACAATTGATGCACACTGTGGAGTCTGAAAGAGAATGAAAGCATTATGATACAAATATATTAAAGATCAAAGTTAAAATGTCAGATGTACCTGTTTTATTGTTGGCCTTTCCTTCAGAACAAAGAACACAGTCAAAACAACACTCAGGTTCCCCCTTCTTCCGGGCAACACGGGTTCCTGGTGGACAGCTTTCACTACAAACTGATTGTGGGGGCTGTGTGGAGAAGTATTAAAATCAATTAATGAACCTGTGTTGACAACCAGGAAAAAGAGGTAAAATGTATTCTTGAAAAAAGTTAGGAACCTGTTTAGACCCAAAGTTCCAGAAGATTCTGTCTTCATTAAGTGTGATCTCTTCCCCTCCTGAAGGTGATCTTTTCACTTCTCCCACATTCCTTATTTCAGTACTCCCATCTGGAAGCCATCGCCAGTTCATTATGTCATAAATTGGTAAAGCATCCCCATACTCATCAAATGACACTTGGTCACCAAATGATGTGGTGAAGTTGACATTTTCCAAATAATATGCAAGCTGCAAAAACCAAATAAGAAGGACTATTATCCTTAACTGATAATGTTGACAAAAATGTGCTATAGATATTTAGGAGTTTATCAAGTTTATTCCTGTGCAACTGGGACCCCCCAGGGTTTTGTGCTGACCCCACTGCTGTAGGGCCACACTCGTTACAGTCATAGGCCTGATTACTGGAGGAGACAGGGTACAGAAAGAAGGCAGCAGGACTAGTGGCCTCACGTAAGGACAACAATCTTCCCGTATATGCAGTAAAGACCAAAGGCAGCTCTGATTAAACACTTAATTTTGTTGCACCATGTCTGTGTGAACAGGAAATGCATTTGCAATGCATTGCATTTAGACGAATATAGAGTTTTAGGGCGGACAACTCCATGCTCTTCAGAGTGGAGAAGTTTGAAAACTTGCATCTCCATTTGATTGTAGCATGGCAGGACAACATGCTCTCTGTAACCTTTTGTCCCAGTAACCCTAACCCTACACTCTCTCACACCATAAACTTTTTTCCATCCCCACAGGACATTTCCGGAGCAATGGTTATCATTAGGGCTCACAACATAACAAAGGACCATTCAAACCGACAACACAGCCTCTTCACACTTCTGCCCTCAGGAAGACACTATAGGAGTGTGACAGCAAGAGCAAAGCAGTGGTGGGTAGTAACGAGTTACATTCACTCCATTACATTTACTTGAGTACTTTTTTAAAATAAAATACTTCTAGGAGTAGTTTTAATTAACTATACTTTTTACTTTTACTTGAGTAGATTTATGAAGAAGCAACATTACTCTTATGCCGCAACATTAGGCTATACTGAGTTAGTTATTTTTATCAGACATACTGGATAAAGCTTTAGCTATCTAGTATCCAGTTCTCTATTCGTCCATGATCCAGTATCTCTACTTTTGTAATTTTGTCTATCTGAATTGAATGCTCATTTAAAATAAATCAGATGTTACTCAACAGTTACTCAGTACTTGAGTAGTTTTTTCACCAAGTACTTTTTTACTCTTACTCAAGTAATTATTTAAATGACTACTTTTTACCTCTACTTGAGTAATATTATGAAGTAACAGTTATTTTACTTGAGTACAATTTTTGGCTACTCTACCCACCTTTGGAACAAAGAAACCATTTAACAGCTTCCACCCTTAGACAATCAGACTCTTGAACTCCCCTCACCGTCCAAACCTCTTGTGGTTTTCAAGTTACTTAGTTGAACAGAACATTTACTTCTTAGGGTTATCTCCTTATTTGTTATTATTTATTACTGTTGTTGAGTAATAACTCTCCTGTGTGCATTGTTTGTTGTTGGTACATTGTTGTGTGAGCTTGTAATGTATACTGTCAGGTGTAAAAGGAGAACAACAAATATGAATAACTGCATTCTCCCAATTTACATAATAAAACCTTCTTGAATGTTGATTGTTTGCTCCTGTACTACCACCAAATATACGGCCAAGTTGTACAATAATTCAGTTTTACTAGGAGTTTTCAATTTTTGATAATCAGGCAGCAGCACACAGGCCTCATGATAGAAAATATTAAATGAGATAAATAAAGAATTGTCATGTAAAATTATTTCACACCTGCCATGGTTCCAGTCCTTGTAATTGAGCACAGGTGTCTCCACTGAAAGGTCCTCTCCCTGGCTCACACTGCAGCATGTCATCAAGAGCATGTGCCAGAGCATAGACTGCCTTATACACATTATACTCTGGTCTGAGGTCTGAAACATCCAAGAATTCCTCAGCTACTTCATCCTCTAATACCTCCTGTCCAGTGCATAATGCTCCTCCATTTTCTATCCAACCTGCTGGAGTTGGAGCAAATCTACACTGAAACATTTGTTCCCAAAACTGATTTACCTGGAAATTACAAGATTTATTACACAATATTGAAATATTTTTTAAAATAGTTTCAACTAACAGATTGAAAATTGTTTTTATCCTCACCATGTTATCTCCATGGCTGCTGTTGTGCTGTTTGTCAGGACGTATTTGAAGCAAGAAGGTTCTGAACCCTGACAATTCTCCCTGACGAATTGCAATTCCTAGTGTTCCACTCAGGTATGGCATGAGGTCAGGTGTCTGTAGCAGAGCAGCGGATATCCAGGCTTCACTGGCCATCCACTGCAGACTGGTCAAATTCTGCCTCACAACCTAGATCATGTATGTTAACACTAAATAATACTGGCATTCATTTATGTTTATTGTATTTATCTCACTAAGTATTTAATTTTCTCTTATCAACTATCAGTATTGCAATGGAAAAATAATGTTTGTTTTCACAACACTTTTTTTTTCAGAATATTTTAACTTAAACTTAAACTGTTTTCTTACTTACATACTTACTTCTTCCATGAGATTGAGCATGTGACTCTCATGTGCAAACACAATGACCACACGTGCTGTTGATTTCCTCATCACATTAACTATTCTCTTCAGTTCACTACGATCATTTGTCCATGGCAAAATCTCTGTATAAGCCAGACATCCTCCAGCAATTGGACCTAGATCAGACTGAAAGGATCGGGCTGCATGGACCCCATAGTCATCATCACTGATTAGCAGGCCTGCCCAAGTCCAACCAAAGTGTTTTAGAATCTGAATCATAGCACGCACCTTTGAGGACACAAACGAGTCAGAGCACTTTTTCTATTCGTAAAACAGTTGTATTTGCTATTTAACTGTTAATAAACAACATTTCATTGTATACAAAAATATGCACAGTGCATCTCATAGTATTATATTATACACATTCTTAAACATTTTAATATGTGTTTAAAATGGTAGGAAATTACCTGAAATGAATCACTTGGAATTGTCCTGAAAAAGGACGGAAATCTTTTCCTGTCACTCAGACATGAACATGTTGCAAAATAACTGACCTGTGAGAAAAAAAAAAAAGGTTTTCGGCTTATTTAACTAATTACTCAAACATAATTTCTTAAAACAGTGTTGTCTTATTTATTCACAATAATTCCAGAATTAAAACTTACCAGAGGCACTCTGTACAAACCTAAGACAGTGGAGATAGCAATTGTCCGAGTAGAGGAAGAATCTCCCACAATCCCTAAAACTGGAGGATTTCCTTCACAGGTCCCCTCTAATGAAATTTCCTTCCTTTGTCCATTTACCAAGGATAATGCTGCCGAAAATCCAATTGCAAGGTGGATGCAGTTATCATACAGACTGTACCCCAGGGTCAGGTTAGGCAGAAGGTTGGGGTTTCTGTTGATCTCATCAATAGCAAAGGCCATGGTCTGAGCCTGTCTAAAGCTTATAATATCAAACCTAACATAAAAAAATATAAACAGTTAATACAAAGAAAATACACAACATGAAGTAAGTAATATTAAATAATGAACAATACCATAGGCAGTCTGAAAAAAGGTAGTAAATGGTAAGCAACATCATCACAAAATGTCATTAGGTCATGTTTCAGATACATTAGTTTTCAGTATCTTTGTGCAGTTTCCTTCACACACTCACCCATAGCAAGTAGGTAGCTGTGGTTCAGAAGTAAAAGAGAGATCAGAGGCAGTGGTTAGGAAGTTGACTGAAAACAGTCCACCCAGAACTATGTCTCCACTCTGGTGCATGCCATTTAGATGAAACTGTCCCTGAGAGTGACAAGATGAGGAACGAAGAGGGAAGGAAACAGCAGAGGAAAAGCAGAAAAACACCAATAATACGACATTACTGGTGTCTGGTAAAGCTGCCATAATGTCACTGAACAACGGTATATCACTGTTTTATTGATTTGCGAGCTCCTAGGTCTAGTTTATTGTTATAACACCACCCATCAGTGTATTGGGAGATGCCGTCAATGTTGGGTCCTGATTTCCTGTCTTTCGAGACAAAATTAACTTTTCCTGATAAATAAAGTGTTTTAAACAATTGGGACATACAATGTTTAAAGTAAGCGTTGTTACTTCAGAGAAATAGGAAAATATGACAACACAAGTAATGTGTGTAAATGGGAAGAAAATTATTTCTCATTTCAAAGACGGCAAATTTTATTTTTTGTTAAATAAAGGTGAGGAGTTATTTAATTTAATTATTATAACATGTTGTCACTGTTAGTGACATCCAGAGCTCTATTCAGGATGTCAGTGTGACTTACAGTAGCTACACATCTCAGTGACCCAGTATTTTTCAAACTTGGGGTCCCGACTCCACACATGGGATTGCCTGGAACTGAATTGTCTGAATTGTATAGTACTTGATTTAAAATAAATTATTGACAAAATGTTTTTTCAAGTAATTATTCTTTTTTTTATTTTATTATTATTTTATTTTAAAATTATGATTAAAAACACTACACATAATTTTAAACAACTGTTTTCTTATACTTTTGTATATAAAGAATATAAATCAATTTCCAATAAAATTCAACATTGGAGTTATAGAATTTTAAGGTAATAGCTTTCTTTTTTTTTCTATGAAAATCAATGACAATTCTAACATGTTTTAAGCACTAACAAGTTTCAGCACTAATGGACATTGGAAACAAAGGTTAGCCTGAGGTGGTCCAAATTAGAATTAGACTAACCAAAGTATTGAGTGTCCATTTTATGGTACAAGAAAAGGACACTTCCACCCCTGTCCTATTAAATGGCACTACACTCTGACAAATGAAACAGTGTGAATGACCGATCATGTCTTGTATTTATTTTACATATATTTTTCCTAAACAAAATTTCTTGTATATATCAGCATGGCCTTCGCAATCAAGTTGAATCATCATTTTCAGAAGAGGCAAAGTTTAGTTTGTTGAAAATGTTTTGCTTTTTATGCAAGACTTTCAAACTGACATGTGGAAAATTCTTGTATTCACCACTGTGTGGCAGAATACCTAAATAGAGGGTCATTATTTTAAAGAGAAGACAGATGGTTTGTAATTCTTTAGTTTACCATTCAGGAGATATTTATTAAAGACTGTGCTACCTGAACTATACCACCAAGTGTCAACTAAGTTAGCTGGGAAGTTAAAAGGAGTTCCAATGTTACAATGTCTAAGTTGAAACGTTTAAGAGAGATTTGGTAAACACTGATCACTTCCTGTGTTAGGTTTTTGAGGAGTAATTTATTTGTTATTTTCTTTGAATGGAGAACTAATGAATCGATGCTATGTTGAGTTTACTAACCTGGTCTTCGACCCATGATGGCTTTTTTCGTGTTTCTCTCAGGTCTGAAGAGGATTAAATAACATTTGGGTCCAAACAATGCTATCAACAGACCAAAACTAGAGGTCAGGATAGCAAAAACTTCCACAGCATCTGCATATTTTCCTGGTGAGCTGATATAGGCAGGAACAAAGGCCACCCACACCGAACAGAAGATAAGCATGCTAAAGGTGATCAGATTAGCCTCATTGAAACTGTCAGGGAGATTCCTTGCTAGAAAGGCTAACAAAAAACTGACAACGGCCAGCAAACCAATATAACCAAGCAAGACTCCAAAGCCCACGGTGGACCCAATGATACACTCATACACTATCTTGTTGTTGTGATACTGTGTGTCTTTATAAGGAGCGGGTGAAGCAGTGACAAGCCAAACAGTGCAAATGGCCGCTTGGACAGATGTCAGGAGCAAAACGGTCCCTCTCTGTTGTAATGTACCAAACCATTTCAGACTGGCTTCACCTCCCGGTTTTGATGCCCAAAACACAGCAAGAACCACCATAGTCTTTACCAGGATACATGAGACACACAGCACAAAGGTGATGCCAAATGCTGCATGTCTTAGTTGACATGTCCATAATCTTGGTTGTCCAATGAAGAGCAACGAGCAAGGGAAACAGAACTTGAGTGACAACAACAGCTGGAAACTAAGTTCTGAGTTGTTGGCACGAACTATAGGTGTACTGCGATGATAAATAAAGATGGCGAAAACAACAAGACAGATAAATGCACCCAACAATGAAGCAGTTGTCAGGCAGATACCCAGAGGCTCATGGTAGGAGAGGAATTCAATATTCTTCGGAACACACTGGTCACGCTGGGGACTGGACCAGAAGTCTTCAGGACAAGGAAAACACTCCATGGAATCTAAAGGTATTGAAGACTTGATGAGATCTCAACTTTCACATTTTTGCTGTATCTACATCACACTTACCAGTTGTGTTACTGATCTTTCCTTCTGAACAAGGAACACAGTCAAAACAACATTCGGGTTCCCCAGTTTTTCGGGCCATACGAGTTCCCGGAGGGCAACTCTCACTGCACACTGACCGAGGGGGCTGTAAGAAAGAAAAAAAAATACCATATAATGTTTTTCTTACCCACAATACTCATTAAAAACGAAGAAACTCAAGGGTACCTTTTTAGATTTAAAGTTCCAAAACATCTTTTTTTCATTGAGTGTGACTTTTTCTTCCTTCAAATATCTTTTAACTTCCCCAACAATCTGAACTTCAGTGCTTCCATCAGTGAGCCACAACCAGTTCATGATGTCATATATTGGTAAGGCATCACCATTCTCATCAAATGACACCAGATCACCCATTTTGGTGGTGAAATTGACTTTTTCCATGTAGGTCAGAAGCTTAGGAAAAGAGGTTTGATGTTAAAAAAACATGAGGACAACACAAGAAGAGTGTTGTCCATTTCATCACTGTCACTTAGGCAACGTCTACTACTAAAGTGACAAACTTCATTTAGAGTACAAAATTTTAGAAAGCATACTGCCTGCGAGGCGTTCCTTCTACACATGCAGCCACAGAACATTGAGTTCCAACAGTAGTGAGCAGTTGTTGGTCTCTTTTTCAGGCTAGAACAAAAACCTTCAATGTTGAATATTTGATGCTGGTAGATCATGTAGATCGAAGCTGAAAAATTGCCTTTGGACTTGAATTTGTTGTTCAAAACATAAAAAAATAGGGGGAAAAAAACACTAGAAAGTGAGGGAATTAAACTAAAGTGTCCCAAGAGGAGAAGCTAAGTACAAGCTAAGTAACAGGGTTTTGTATTGTTTTTGGATCGTGTAGATGGTTGATGCAGAAAAGACTCATACTCATACACGTTTACGGAAGCGTATTGCTGCTACACTGAAAAAAATATATTAGCTCAGTATCACGTAATTACGTGATAACCTTCACCTTATTTTGTGATAATTTTCACGTAATTACATGACAACTTTCATATTCTTGCCTCGCATGCAGACCTTTATTCATCACATAATTACGCGAAACTTATCACGAAACAGCGTAGAATTTATTACAAAATAACGTGAAAGTTATCACGTAGTTATGTGGTACTCAGCCAGTGTTTTCTTCTCACTGTGGCAGCAATAAGCTTCCGTACAAACCGGAACTTGAGTGTTGAGAGCAAAATAGAAAGAAAAAGAAGTGTTCATTAAACACATCCATTCAGGAACATGTGTGCTGCTCAACTTATAAATTGTGTGCAGTGACGATGTCACTTATAAACAACTCCCTTAGTGGTCCATTTCCTACTTTTTAACTGTTACAGTTTGAAAAACGCATTATAGATTGATTGTCATTTGTATCTCTTCAGTTTTCATTTCCTGAAAATCTACAAGATGCTAGGCTTGTGATAATTTGGCAATAAGTGGGCTGCACAGTACAAAATTAATTAAGAAGAAGATATTGAGTGTAAACTTATATTCAACCTGCCATGGCTCCATTCTTTGTAATTGACCACAGGTGTCTCCACTGAAAGGTGCTTTCTCTGGATCACACTGCAGCATGTCATCAAGAGCATGTGCCAGAGCATACACAGCCTTATACACATTGTACTCTGGCCTGAGGTCTGAAAGATCAAAGAATTCGTCCTCCAGCAAATTCTCTAGAGCTTCCTGTCCAGTGCATAATATTCCTCCAGCTTCTAGCCAACCTGCTGGAGGTGGTTTAAATCTGCACTGGAATATGTTTTCCCAAAACTGATTTACCTGGAAAAATATGTAGGATATATTTTGTTTAACAAGCTATTAATATTGTAACTGTAAATACCAGATCTGGCAAAACTGTTGAATTCCTACCATATTATTTCCACTGCTGCTGTTATGATGCAGATCTGGACGAATTTTTAATAGGAAGTTTCTGAATCCTGTCAAATTACCTCGACGGATGGTGATGCCCAGTGTTCCACCTAGGTATGGCATTAGGTGGGGCTTCTGCAGCACAACAGCTGAAGACCAAGCCTCACTGGCTATCCACTGCAGTCCTGTCAGATTTTGTCTTATGACCTGTTAATTGAATGTTAAGGCAGGGTACATAGTTTAGTTGTTTTAACATGCTGTTTTCAATTTTTCTTCAGTATCTGACATAAGTCCTTTTTAACAGTGACCTATGAAACACAGCATGCTTTTTGAAATCTTCAAAAAGGTTTAAAGGTTTGGGCAGATTCACTCTTTCAGGACTCACCTCTACCATGAGGTTGAGCATATGGCTCTCATGTGCAAATACAATAACAACACGAGCTGTAGATTCCCTCATCACATTAACTATTCTCTTCAGTTCATTGCGGTCATTTCCCCAAGGCAAAATCTCAGTGTATGCAAGACAACCTCCTGCAAGTGGACCCAGATCAGATTGCAATAATCGAGCAGCGTGGACTCCATAGTCATCATTACTGATGAGCAGACCTGCCCAAGTCCAACCAAAGTGTTTTAGAATCTGAATCATAGCACGCACCTGTGAGGACACAGAGAAGAGGCATCAGAGCACAGCCTGTAATTATCTGTCAACCTATATTTGAGCTTTTGTCAACATCTTTCTGTGTTGTAACATGACACCACACTAAGCCGTACACAGAGAATTAAACTGGATGTGGTTTCAACTTGTGTGTTTTTCCATTGATGTAGAAAAAAAAATGTTGTCTTTAATTTATGTATATATTTTACCTGAAAAGAATCACTGGGGATTGTCCTGAAAAAAGACGGGAATTTTTGTCGATCACTGAGACAGGGACATGTAGCAAAATAACTCACCTGGGAAAATGAGACCAAAAACAGTGAAATCATCATTATGGTCGTATTTGTGGATTTTTTTTAGTTGGATTACTCTGTACTCATTATTTAGTTATTAAACATGTACCACATGATCATAGTTGTACCAAGTCCAGTTACCTACAAACATACAAACTTAAAGAGGTCTTTAGAAATAATAATAATAGCAATAAAAACCAGAGACCATTAGGATTAAAAAGTGTGTTTAGAGAAATAATTTCCATCAACAACACTAACTAAAGGCACATTTACAGATCGACTGACTGACCAACACAGTGATATGACAAAGGATAGAAATATGCCATTGTACTGTGTGCCCAATATCCAGAAGCACAGACAATAATTATGTTGTAAGTTTGCAATTAAATGGCCACAACTGTGACAGCATAATTAAAATGATCTACAAACAGTACTAGGATAAAAATGAAAATCTCATTATACACAAATATATTTTTAAGAGTTTTCAACTTACCAGAGGTACTCTGTACAAACCTAATACCCTGGAGATGGCGATAGTACGTGTAGAGGAAGAATCACCAACTATACCTAAAACTGGAGGAGTGTCACATTCATCCTCCAGGTTGACCTGCCTCTCGTAGCCATTTGATAAAGACAAGGCTGCGCGCATTGAAACCCCTAAGTGGATGCAGTTATCGTACAGACTGTATCCCAGAGTCACATTAGGCAGCAGGCTGGGGTCCCTGTTAATCTCATCAATAGCAAAAGCCATGGTCTGGGCGTGTCTGAATCCTAAAGGATCAAAACTAACACAAAAAGTGTATTAAAAAGGATGTAGTAATCATTATCTTTGTAATTATAAACCTTGACAGGGGGTCTGCTATAGTTTACACACTCACCTGTAGCAGACAGGTTGCTGTGGCTCTGAAGTAAAAGACATGTCAGGAAAAGTAGAAAAGAAATGAACTTTAAAAATCCCACCAAAAACTACATCTCCAGACTGGTGGATTCCATTCAGATGAAACTGCCCTAGTAAATTACAGGAGGAGGATTGCTGAAAAGATATAGCAGAGAAATAACAGAAGAATAAAGGGTACAGTATAAGCATTACGGTTCTGTCTAGAAATGGCTTCATGACTTGTCACTGTCACACCCCTGTCTGACTGCTGTCTACCTGAAATGTCATAGCATTTATTGAATTTCACTGGTGGTCAGATTTGCACAACACCCAATAAGGAAATGGCAACAAGCAGTTAGGGCAGGGTCTAAAAAACATCTCATCTGAGACTAACAGCATTATTTGTAAGTGTTTTTTTTAAGGTCACCTCTCTATATCTGTGGAAACGCTGTGGTATACTTTCACTTAATCCACAGTATTTGGACTATGGAAGAAAAGTGACGATAACAAGAGAAAACACTGCTGTAAGGCAACAGTAACAACCACTCTTCCACTGTGAAGATCATAAAAATATTTCCATTCAAATGATTGGTGAGACCATAGGGGGCTAATCTTTACTTACATTCTGTTTCAGCTTCTATACAGTATTATTGTCAGAGATCTACAAAATGGTGGCAATACTAAAGCAATTCCGAGCAGTGCTAAATGTACATATTTAAGTCTGTTGTTTCTACCACAGAATCCAGAAACTCTGGGAGAAAGTACAGAGACTGCTACACATACTTAAAATGTTTTAAAGTTTACTTAGTTTACTCTCAATTAACTTGTGTATGACACCAGCCTGTTTAGTAGAACACAATGCTGATTACGCACAGGAATTCAGGAAAGACACAAACAAACAAAGATCTTCTTTAACAAATCTTTTTTATATATTCTGCTGCCACTTCACAGTGGCTAGGAATCACCATTTTAAACCATGACTAAGATTATTTTGCTAAAATATAACAGGTGAACATCACCAGCATTTCAGAACAACATATTATCCAAAAAGCAACAAAAACAGACAAACAAAACTGTGTGCAATGTGACTAATTACGATAATATTCCTAAATTGTATTGTTTGTATTTGTTGAAATACAGTTACAATTAGGACCTAATGTCTCGACTCATGATTGCTTTTTTTGTGTTCCTCTCTGGACGCAAGAGGATTATATAACATTTAGGTCCAAACAGGGCAACCAGTAGGCCGTAACTTGAAGCCAGGATGGCAAACACCTCTACGGCATCTGCATATTTGCCTGGTGAGCTGATATAGGCAGGAACAAAGGCCACCCACACTGCACAGAAAATTAACATACTGAAAGTAATGAGTTTGGCTTCATTAAAACTGTCTGGAAGATTTCTTGCAAGAAAGGCTAACAAAAAACTTAGAATGGCCAAAAAACCAATATAACCAAGTAAGATTCCAAAACCAACTGTGGAGCCAATGGCACATTCATACACTATCTTGTCACTGTGATACTGGGTGTTTTTATGTGGAGTTGGTGAAGCAGAGACAAGCCAAACAGTGCAGATTGCTGCTTGTACTGAGGTCAGAACAAGAACTGTTCCTCTCTGCTGAGCAGCACCAAACCACTTCAGACTGGCCTCAGCTCCTGGTTTGGAGGCCTTAAATACAGCCAAAACTACTACAGTCTTTACCAGGATACATGAGACGCAAAACACAAAGCTGATGCCAAATGCTGCATGTCTTAGTTGACATGTCCATGTCCTGGGTCGTCCAATGAAGAGCAGCGAACACAAGAAACAGAACTTAAGAGACAACAAAAGCTGGAAACTCAGTTCTGAGTTGTTGGCACGAACTATAGGGGTGCTGCGATGATAGATGAAAATACCTAACACAACAAGACAAATAAATGTCCCCAACAATGAAGTGGTCGTCAGACAGATACCCAGAGGCTCATGGTAGGAGAGGAATTCAGTTGTCTTTGGAACACAGTAGTCACGCTGGGGACTGGACCAGAAATCCTCTGGACATCTGGTACACTCCATGGAGTCTGTGAAAGAGAGCATTTAAAAAGGAGAAGTGACTGTACATCTAAACAATATTGTGTGAAAACTTTAACTCTCACCATTCATGTTACTGATCTTTCCTTCTGAACAAGGAACACAGTCATAGCAACACTCAGGTTCCCCTTTTTTTAGGGCCCTGCGAGTCCCTGGAGGACAGCTCTCACTGCACACTGACCGAGGAGGCTGTGGAGAGTTAATTGACAGTATCTCACTTAAACTTGTTACGCCCCCCCCCCCCCTCCCCCCCAAATGTTTTTCAAAGATTTATGAAGAAGAAACAGTACTCTTACTCCATTACATTAGGCTATACTGAGCTTGTTAGTATCCAGTTTTCTATTCATCCATGATCCAGTATCTTTACTTTTATTTTGTCAGAGAGAGAGGTCTGCCCAAGGCTCTATCACATGACTGTTTAACCAATAAAATGTAGCGCTTGCCGCGCAGTCTCGCCGATCAGATGTTACTCAACAGTTACTTAGTACTTGAGTAGTTTTTTCACCAAGTACATTTTACTCTTACTCAAATAATTATTTAAAAGACTACTTTTTTACTTCTACTTGAATAATATTACTCTGAAGTAACAGTACTTTTACTTGAGTACAAGTTTTGGCTAATCTACCCACCTCTGCCAAAAACAGATTGCAACCTAAATTTGAGTTTGACTTTTAATTATTGCAAAAATGAAATTGAAATGAAAACAACACCTGTTTGGATGGAAAGTTCCAGAAAATGATATCCTCATCAAGGGTGAGCTCGTCATGATTTGAGGATGATCTCTTAACCTCACCGACACTGTGAAGTTTAATACTTCCATCAGGGAGCCACGCCCAGTTCATGATGTCATATATTGGTAAGGCATCACCGTTCTCATCAAATGACACCTGATCACCAAATGATGTGGTGAAGTTGACCTTTTCCAAGTAATACATAAGCTTTAGAAAACAGGAATTAAAAATGAGAATCCAAAGGAAATGTAAAGATAGCTACATAAAGACAGTGGATTAGACTAAAGGAATTACCGTATTTTCTGGATTATAAATCGCTGCGGAATATAAATTCGACCTGTCAGCTAGAGTGCCTTTTCGTGGCAGTCTATGAAATTATATAGTTTAATATATAAGTTGCACCTGAGTATAAGTCACAAACCCAGCCAAAGGATGTAAAAAAAGTGCGACTTATAGTCTGAAAAATATGTTACAGTATAAACTGATGTTCCACCTGCCATGGCTCCAGTCTTCGTAAATGAGTGTCTCCACTGAAAGGTCCTCTTCCTGGTTCACACTGCAGCATGTCATCAAGAGCATGTGCCAGAGCATACACAGCCTTGTACACATTATACTCTGGTCTGAGGTCTGAAACATCCATGAACTCATCTTCCTCCACATTCTCAATGGCCTCCTGTCCAGTGCATAATGCTCCCCCAGCTTCCAACCAACCCTCTGGGGGTGGTGAAAATTTGCACTGAAATGCATGTTCCCAAAACTGACTGACCTAAAATGTACATTTAAATTGTCTTGATTGTTTGTTTTTTGTTCTGTAAATGTTAGCCGTAATAAGCATGTGCATGCTCAAATTCTCACCATGCTATTTCCAAAGGTGGTGTTGTAGGTTAGGTCAGGTTGTGTTTTCATCAAGAAGGTTTTGAGTCCTGGGATTTCTCCTCGACGAATGGCAATTCCTAGAGTTCCACCCAGGTAAGGCATAAGGTCATTTGTTTGTAGCACTGCAGCTGATGTCCAGGCTTCACTGGCTATCCACTGCAGACCTGTCACATTCTGCCTTACTACCTAGACAATGCATTATAACAGAAATTTAAAAAAAGATCAATTACAACTACCTCAATAGTTTTAATATTATTATTAACTTCAGTAAATTCCATTAAAATCTGGTACTCAGGAAAGTATGAATTTAACAAAAACAATTTCTTTTATTTTTTTATTTTGATGAGAAGTGTTTAACACATCATCTTTATTGCTGATTGGGTGTTCTACTGTTTATTTTAGTTCTACAGAGGGATTTCTTTGAGAGCACACAATCTCAGTATGCACTCACTGAAGCTCTGTACACTTGGCCACACATTGTCAAAACATGGTTGAGTATGTTCCCCAAATTTATGTATGCATTTAGCACAATTGACTACAAATCGCAGTCTCCCGCCAATAAATCAAGACAGGCGAGGATGACTATTTTGAAGATAGTTGACAAAGCAGCCTTTACAGCTGCATTGTCGGATCTACCAGCCTATTAACAACTAAATACTGATTCATGTCAGAAAGACTTCTTGTTGGGAGGCGCCACTACTCCATTCTCACTTGTCCTCATGCTCCATCAATTTCCTTAATTAGTTCCTGTTCTTAAGGGACCATCAATGTAGCAGATTTTAAGAATGGTTATGTTTTTTGTTTTCAAACATTTGACCAACCTCTTCCATGAGGTTAATCATATAACTTTTTGGTGAAAATGCAACGACCACACGTGCTGTAGATGTCCTCAGGATATTCACTATTCTCCTCAGTTCAACTGGGTCATTGTCCCATGGCAACACCTCGGTGTAAGCCAGACAGCTTTCAGCAGCGAGACCCAGATCTGACTGAAAGGATCGGGCAGCATGAACTCCATAGTCATCACCACTGTAGAGCAGACCAGCCCAGGTCCAACCAAAGTGTTTCATAATCTGAATCATAGCACGCACCTATGATGACACAGAACAGAGACATCAGCACCTTTCATGCTGTTACCTCTTGGAATCATCATCAGTTACAGCAGGGGTATTGTCTACTTTTTAAGGGCAGATTTTAAAAATGAAGACCATTACTGCTCATGAATATTTTATGAGAAGTATCACATGTCACAGAAATAAAGTGTGTATGCCCTAGATTTAGATTGATTTCTGTCATGTCTGTCTGTTTCCGTGTTTTCCTGTGTTCTTTGTGGGGTAATCATGGGATCACACTCACCTGTTGTTAATTAGCTTCACTTGTGTCACCTGGTGTTCCCTGTGTATATATACCCCTCTCCCTCACTCTGTCGTTGTTGGATCATTGTGATTGTGATTGTGTGTGTTTGATCATTGTGACTGTGTTAGATCTTTGTGTTCGTGAATTTCCTACTCTGTTTCCTCGTGTTCCCGTGTTTCCTCGTGTTCCTCGAGAATTCCATGCCTGTTAGTTCTTCGTGTTTTGTTAATTTGGACTTTGTTAATAAAACTTCCTGCACCAGAAAGAGTCTCACCAGTACTGCATTTGGGTCCTGCCTGCTTCCTGCGATGCTAATACATGACAGATTTCCATAAATCCAATATAACAACCATTCAATATAAGCTGTGGTTGACCAAATTAGTACTACTGTTTTTTTTAATTAAAATTACAAATCATTAATTTTTCAAAAGAAACTGAAAAAATATCAACTTGAAAACTAAACAAACAAACCAAAGGTTACTCACTGACACTGTTCAGCAACTAAAGTAGCTGTATAACATCAAACAGAGCTGCTGTTGTTATACAAATGTAGCTGCAGTACAGCTAAACTTTTTTTAACACAAGCCTTTGGATATTTAAAAAAAATGTTCATCAACTAATTTTACAGTTACAATTCTTATGGTGTGTAACATGTACTGCTGCATGTGTTGTTAACGTATGTCCAAAAGAATTACAGGTGAATGTGTGTAGCAAGACCAACAATCAGTGATTGACAATGTAAACTCATACAAATGTACAAGGTACAAAGATCTATCTAGACAAGAAAATCCAGTTTTGCTGTACTAATGCATACATTTTTGTGACTAGTGTATCTTTATTCCTTTTTATATGTACCCACCTGAAATGAATCACTCGGGATGGTCCTGAAGAAGGATGGAAACTTTTGCCGGTCACTTAAACACGAACATGTGGCAAAATAACTCACCTGTTCATAGAAAAACATATGTATGCTCATATTAGGTTTCAAATCCAGCACCAAAATGTTGCTATAACACTGGTTTATGAAAATGGTGAAAAACTTCAACTTTAGACACAGAATCATCATCCATCAAATCCCCAGAAATATAAAATAAAGATATATTTATTATTGATTTTGTCTTTTGGACCTTTTTCACTCAAAACAAATGCAAATTTTAAAATATCAGTGTGTGTATGTGTGTGTGTGTGTTCATCTATTGAATTCACTGTTCATAAGAGTTGAATGTGTTTTGGGTAATGAAAATGAACTTTTGTTTGTTGTAAAAAGCACAATAAAAATAAAAAAGCCAATCTGTCTGAAACTTATCTTACTATGCTTTATATTCCAAATACACCGTAAGAAATACCAAACGTTTTTTAATTCTAGTGTAAATATGCAAATGTTTTGAACACAATATAATGAAATACGGTTCAAAGCAGGAGCTATGACTACATAACTACAGCAAGTTGTCATGAGTAAGAAAAGTTATCTGAGCACTACTATTATCATTTATTAAACAGTTTAAAAAATGAAATGAAGGGTATGGTATTACTTGTTACTCGTTTATTTGTTTTGAAAGCTGAAAAGTTCTTGTTAATATTTTCAGTACATTGTGTGGCCATACTGCATAGAGAACAAAATGAGACAGCATGTATTTGAGTTGCACAGTTTACATTTAGCCACAGTGATGGTTTTAACATTTTTTTTGTGTTTGCCACAATATCAAGAGAAACATAATTGTCTCTGTAGATTGAAAAATATTTTAGAACTTACCAGAGGCACTCTGTACAAACCTAAGACCGTTGAGATGGCAATGGTACGTGTAGAGGAAGAATCACCAACAATCCCCAGAATTGGAGGAGTTGTGCATGTCTCATTTAGAGTGTAAACTTGTTTCTCTTGACCATTTGCCAGGGAAAGCGCAGCACGGAATCCAACCCCTACATTCATGCAGTTATCATACATACTGTATCCCAGAGTCACATTAGGGAGCAAGCTGGGGTTTCTGTTGATTTCATCAATAGCAAAGGCCATGGTCTGAGCCTGTCTGAAACTTCTAACATCAAATCTAAAAAGCAACGAAGACAACAGAGAGTTAATATAACAAAGACACGTGATACTGTGACAAATAAAAAGGAAAGATATAATCAGTGAACAGGAGTTGCATTCAAATTTGCATAATAGATGTCAGAATATAAAAAAAAATACAGTATACTGCAAATCATTAAAAAAACATACTGCAGTTGTGTAAGAATTATAGCACAACAAACACAATCAGTAATGTAACATGCAGTGTTTCCAAAGCAGACTCACCCGTAGCAGATTGGCTGCTGTGGCTGTGAGGTGAATGACAGGTCAGGAAAGGAAGAAAAGAAGTGAAGCTTGAAAATTCCACCAAGAATCAAATCTCCACTTTGATACATCTGATTAAGATGAAATTTTCCCAGTAAATGACAGGAGGAAGGATAAACAGGGGAGGGAAGAGCAGAAGAAAAGAACACACTTAAGAAAAGCACAAAGAAGCTGCTGTGTGAATGTGGTCTCATGATTATCCAATGATTTTTGTCTCTGTCTAACTACCCACTGAATCCAATCAGAAGGCCATTGCATTTTATAATTTTGAGTGTTGTTAAGATTTTAATTCCACCAATTGGGGACAAGGGGGAGAAGTTGTAGGGGCAGGGCCAACATAGATTTAATCTGAAATACAATTCAACTAAGAACCAGGATAAATCTTGTAAATCCCTGCTAAAAATGTCAATGAGCTTTCTGATCTTTTCGGATCTTTGTGTGGTTGTACTGTGTGAGTTGTATACTAGAGAATATATAAAGGTAAACTAGTGTGCTGTTTGCTCAGTTTACTGTTTAAACACCATATAACATATTTTGAAATAATTATATTATATTTAAGGGGGTAATCTATTTAAATCAGATTAATTACGTTAGGTGCTGATTAAACATGATTAATCATGATTGTGAATAGTAAGTGATCCTTTATGCAAGAACAGGTTGAGCACTGCCCGTGCCCTACAGAATCACCCCCAGACAGGCCACTGGTGTGAATGTTTCTGCCCAAACAATCTGAAACAGACCTCATGTGGCCTGGGGCACTGTATTGTAGTGGGCCCTGTGCTCAACACTCAGCACCGTGGAGCTTGATTGGCATTGCTAGAAAGCACCGGAATTGGCGTGTGCCATAGTGCCTTTCTCCCCACAAAGCTTGCACGATAGATCCTCTCTCATTCCCTACTTGTGCAAGTTTGCTGGGGTTGAAAGAGTAGAAGGAAAGAGATGCCAAACAACTCCAGTATCCATAATTCTGCCCAAGTGATCATTCTTTTGGGTAGGTCCCATTTGATCCAGGCTCCCTGGGAAGCTATTTATCCTCCCCTTGTCCTTTGTCCTTCCTCTTCCAGGTTCCGTACTTCCTCCTGAATCATGGCTCTTCTCTCCTTGGTTCCTGTCTTCCCCCATTGTTGGAAATGGGAAGTTCAAAGACCCTGTTTTCCTGCATATGATGCCAAAATGATGTCATATAGCTTCATATAGCTTCAGATGTTTTCAGCTTGTGCTACTGATGAGTAGGCTTCCCACTTGCATCCCAATCTCATGGTGATCCATGAAGTCTGTATGCCATTATGGCTCTGCACTTTGCAACTTTAAATTCCTCAACCATAGATAAAAGAGGAAGATGAAGCTGTTCTGATCTTACGTAGAGGCTGACTGCAGTGAAGTTTTGATGGGATCCCTGGTTTTCCATCCTTTTAAGTTTTTCATCAGCCTTTCTATGCTGGCCATGTTGTTTTTGTCGCTAATAAATCATTGAACCACTTCCGGAGGTTACCTCATTGGATTTTTTTTCCATTGAAAGCTTAAACATTAGGAATTTTCCATTCCTAATCACCATACTTCTGGACTGCTTTTGCTTAAACTTCAGTCTGGCCCATGTTGCCATGTGGTCCACAGCAGTTAACACCCATCTCACTTCCACATGGGTTGTGGTCATGATATTAAGATTATCCATGTGAACCATTCTTGGCAGTTGTCGAATGCCTTACACAACTTCTGGACTCCGGGCTTCTTTCTCCACTGCTGTTAGTAGGAGGTTCATTTCCATGAAGAGGATGGGGGGTTGTACAGCTGGTTATGATACCCTTTCCTAGGTTTTGCCACAGAATTTGACTATGACCTAAAGGTGTAAATATCTTTATATTTATTTCTTCACATTGCCAACAATTTGTAGCAATTTATAGGCCATAGCAAAAGTCAGTAGGAGAGTGAATATAAAAATGAGAATTAATGTGTAAAGACTGTTGTCATACTTAGTTCAAAATGTGCTACTAATAGTAATAAGTACTGATAAGTATCAATGTGTTCAGTTGTTTAGCTTATGAATCTATGTAATATAGGTGTCACCATTAAAGACTCAATTCTCACTTAATTTCGTTTATGATTTATGAAGTTTATTTTATTAAGCACAAAGATATGATATTTACTGCAATATACCTTGACTACAACTCAAAAATTCATGACATGACTATATTTACATTTTGATACTTTTTCTCATTTTAAAATGAAATAATTATTAGCTCTTATTTAATTATTAGAGTGATTGTTTCGACCCATTATGGCTTTCTTTGTGTTTCTCTCAGGCCTCAACAAGATAATATAACATTTGGGTCCAAACAGTGCTACTAATAGGCCAAAACTAGAGGCCAGGATGGCAAACACCTCCACGGCATCTGCATATTTGCCTGGAGAGTTGATATAGGCAGGAATGAAGGCCACCCACACTGCACAGAAGATTAGCATGCTGAAAGTAATGAACTTGGCCTCGTTGAAACTGTCTGGAAGATTTCTTGCCAAAAAAGCTAACACAAAACTAAGAATGGCTAATAAACCAATATAACCAAGTAAGATTCCAAAACCAACAGTGGAGCCAATGGCACATTCATACACTATCTTGTCACTGTGATACTGGGTGTTTTTATGAGGAGCTGGTGAAGCAGAGACAAGCCAAACAGTGCAGATTGCTGCTTGTACTGAGGTCAGAACAAGAACTGTTCCTCTCTGCTGAGCAGCACCAAACCACTTCATACTGGCTTCACCTCCAGGTTTAGAGGCTCTGAATACAGCCAGAACCACCATAGTCTTTACCAGGATACATGAGATACAAAGCACAAAGCTGATGCCAAATGCTGCATGTCTAAGTTGGCATGTCCATAATCTGGGTGGTCCAATGAAGAGCAACGAGCAAAGGAAACACAGCTTGAGTGACATCAACAGCTGAAAACTAAGTTCAGAGTTGTTAGCACGAACGATAGGTGTGCTGCGATAATGAACAAAAATAATGAACACAGACATACAAATGAATGAGCCGAGTACAGAGGTAACTGTCAAACAGATACCAAGAGGTTCATGGTAGGAGAGGAACTCTGTTTTCTTAGGAACACAGTGGTCATTCTGGATGTTGGACCAGAAATCTTCTGGACAACTGATGCACTCCATGGAATCTATAAAAAAGAGAAAAGTGTGTATTATAAAGCAGTTTTGTTTTTTTGTTTAATCATTGTTGCCTTTAGAAAATCCCAAATTGTATTCACAGAAAGTCTGCTTGTTTGATTTAATTTAAGTTGCCATTGGTGTACTTTAAGGTAAGTAAAGTTCTCAATATTGTCTATTGAGTTTTGCACATTAATCCCCAAAGAACAGAGAAATAAATTGTTTAGTTTTCAGGTCTCAAACACAACAACAAAGCGGAATACTGACAAATGAATATCATTATAGAAAAACAACATTTAATGTACAAGTCTAAAATGTGTTCTTATTACAGGGAAAAGGGTACAGAAAGACAGGTGATACAGTTTAACTTTTATCTTGTCTTAGCGTTCTGTACTCGATTCTACTGAGCAGAATACTGTAACGTCAAAAACTTTACACTCACTGGTTGCATTGCTGATCTTTCCCCCAGAACAAGGTACACAGTCAAAACAACAGTCAGGTTGCCCTTTTTTTCGGGCCATGCGAGTACCTGGAGGACAGCTGTCACTACAAACTGACCGAGGAGGCTGTATGGAGAAAAGGCAGAATCTGTAATGCCATTTTGTTTTATACTTTCCACCAATGATGGGCAGTAACGAGTTATAATAATGTTACTATGATCAAATTACTTTTATCAAGTAATGAGTAAAGTAAGGGATTACTATTGCAAAAGCATTAATTAGATTACTGTTACTTTCCTTCAGATAGGATGCGTTACTAATCCGTATACTAATTTGTTTGTGGCAGTGCTTCATGACAGTGACTTTGCGGTGTGACGTCAGTGGTAACAGCTTATTACTTTCTCAGAAAAGTAATCAGTAATCAATAACTAATTACTATTTCCAAGTAACTTGACCAATACTGCTTGTCATTACACAATTTTCTATGACAACAAAGCCATACAAAAGGACTAAATCTGTCTCTAAAACTAGTGCCATGTACACATAATTGTGTACATGGTGTCACAAACTAGCAAATTTGGCAGTGCCTACAGTAATAGAATGACTAATCACAGAGCCAGAGGTTCTACAGACATCATGAAGAGACTGCTGCAGGTACCATCCTCACCACCATTTCAACAAGTGAACATAGGTTAAGTTATATATTTATCTTTTTTTTCTTTAAATTTGTATTCTACAGTATGACATTAAAAACTGAAAAATGATACAATCAGGAAAATGTTTAAATAGTAAAAATGAAATAGAAAGTTCTCTCATTTAATATGGATTACTTGTGGTGAAGAACTTACGGTCACTGACCTAAAACGTGGTAGCCCAACGCATAGGATCTAAACACATGTAGGAGTTTTGTTTATTTACTAGATTATTTCAAATGCAATTCATGCTGTGATTCTATTTTTAATAATTGTGTGAGAACAAACCAAAGTAAGAGACCTTCTGTTTGTAGCTTTAAAGGCAGTTTATGTTGGACCTTAAAGGTTTCCCTTCCTAGCAAAAAGAAAAAAAAATCTAATCTCATAAATGTGTCACTAACATGGTGTAAAAGAAAAGAAAACCAACCTTTTTAGGATCAAAATTCCAGAAGATTTTATCTTCATCCAGAGTGAGTTCTTCACCTTTCAAGGATGACCTTTTGACCTCACCAACATTTTGAACTTTAGTCCTTCCATCAGGCAGCCATGACCAGTTCATGATGTCATATATTGGTAAGGCGTCACCATTCTCATCGAATGACACTTGATCACCAAATGGTGTGGTGAAGTTGACTTGTTGCAAATAGTGCAAAAGCTGTAGAAATCAGTAAGGATAAACTTAAAAAGAGAATAAAAGGTCTAGTTCCTACAGAATTAAATTCTAAAAGGCAAAGTATACCTTTCCTGAAAGATAAACAGGGATATTTTCAAAAGGAGGATGTTTCATTGAAACCCATGATCGAAAAAATCAAATCAGATTTGACTTGTTTATACATAGTCATATTTACCATTTTCTAATGAATTTCTCTTAAATGCAATTGGAATTGTATATTCACCAGAACATCATAAACATGTACCGTATGTAATGGTTTAGGACACCTTGAGACCAATGCATCTGATTACAGCTCACTTCACAACTGAGCCTGAGAAACATTTATAAAGCGGAAAAAGAAACATCTTTGGAACTATTTATCTTTGTTTGTATAGCGACTGTGATTTATTTTTTGTTCAAAGAACAGTGGAATATGCAGCACTGTTTCATAATGAGAAGATAACAAAAGCAGAGGCTTGCTTGTGATCACTAACAGTTGAATATATATATATATATATATATATATATATATATATATTCAGAGATTATATAAACATAAAATTAAAATAACCTGACATTTACGCCTACAGAAAATGCCCAATGCTTTCAGTTTTTATATATTTTGTTAGATATACTTCGTTTTACTCATGTTAAAAAATATGAAAGACTGTACAGGATTAAGAAGTAGATTGTTAACTGCCAACACACCTGCCATGGTTCTAGTCTTTGTAAATGAGCACAGGTGTCTCCACTGAAAGGTCCTCTTCCTGGCTCACACTGCAGCATGTCATCAAGAGCATGTGCCAGAGCATACACTGCCTTATACACATTATACTCTGGTCTGAGGTCTGAAACATCCAAGAATTCCTCAGCTACTTCATCCTCTAATACCTCCTGTCCAGTGCATAATGCTCCTCCATCTTCTATCCAACCTGCTGGAGTTGGTGAAAATCTGCACTGGAATGTGTGTTCCCAAAATTGATTCACCTGGGGTACACATTCAACATAGTGAATCTACTTGTAGTATTTACAGCTACAATTTATGAAATGATATGAACGTATTCACACCAAGTTGTTTCCATTGCTGTTATTATATTTTAGATCAGGGCGTATTTTTAACAGAAAATTCTTGAGACCGGGGATTTCTCCTCGACGGATGGCAATGCCTAGGGTTCCACCCAGGTATGGCATGAGGTGAGGTGCCTGTAGCACAGCAGCTGATGTCCAAGCTTCACTGGCCATCCACTGCAGGCCTGTCACATTCTGCCTTATCACCTGGACATTGCACAAAATATAAAACTTTATAATTTGAACAAACATTCGTCAATAAACATTTTTAGACGGCAGAAAGTGAAAACAACCCTAGTTTCTCACAGGACTCACCTCTTCCATGAGATTGAGCATATGAGCCTGATGTGCAAACACAATGACCACACGTGCTGTTGATTTCCTCATCACATTAACTATTCTCTTCAGTTCAGTACGATCATTTGTCCATGGCAAAATCTCTGTATAAGCCAGACATCCTCCAGCAATTGGACCTAGATCAGACTGAAAGGATCGGGCTGCATGGACCCCATAGTCATCATCACTGATGAGCAGACCTGCCCAAGTCCAACCAAAGTGTTTTAGAATCTGAATCATAGCACGCACCTATGTGGACACAGAGGAGTCAGTTTACAGGGCAATTTTTGACTTGTGGGTTTTCTTGTGCAATTTGAATTCAATGTTTAAATTATACCTGAAATGAATCACTTGGAATTGTCCTGAAAAAAGATGGAAACATCTGTGTGTCACTAAGACAAGAACACGTTGCAAAATAACTGACCTGTAAAAGACATAAGAAAAATCATTCCAAGCATCACAAAGACAGGGAAAATATTTCTTAATAATTTTAATATTGCTAAGCTTATCAGTCACAGTAAATTGGAATGAGAACGTAAAGAGTAAACTTACCAGTGGTACTCTGTACAAACCTAAGATCCTGGAGATGGTAATAGTGTGTGTAGAAGAGGAATCACCTACAATTCCTAGGACTAAAGGAGTTCCTTCACAGGTTCTCTCTAACTTTACATTTTTCTCCTGACCATTTGCCAAGGACAGTGCAGCTCGCAATGCTATCTTCACTTCGATGCAGTTATCACGTATGCTGTATCCCAGAGTCACATTAGGCAAAAGGTTGGGGTTTCTGTTAATCTCATCAACAGCAAAGGCCATGGTCTGAGCCAATCTGAATCCTGTAATATCAAAACTAAAACCAAATACACTTATAAACATGGTAAATGTCTCTAAAAAATCAAATACATTTTATAATGATGGATAATGAAGAAGCATAATCTAAAAAGCATAAGAGCATAACAGGATCATCTTTCGTTGATAAAACACGTCACTCCTTCTATGACTCACCCGTGGCAGATAGGCTGTGGTGGCTCTGAAGTGAAAGACAAATCAGAGTAATCAGAAAAGAAATGAACTTGAAACAGTCCACCAAGGACAACGTCTCCAGTTTTGTGCAGCTCATTGAGATGAAACTGTCCCTGCAGGTGACATGAGGATGAATACAGAGAGGAAGAGGAAGAGCAGTACAACAACAGGTTTAGAATGCAGTAGTAGGAGTTGAGAGAAGACCTCATGGTTAACTACTTTTCTGAGTGAATGTCTGTGTTTACATCATCTATTATAGTCACCTGTCATATTATTTAATGTTGAAAACCACCAATAAGAAGGATTAGGGGCAGGACCAAAACACCATCTTTGAACATGCGTGGAACTGTGTGCATGTTTTCTTATGTACTTCAGATTAAACAGGAAGTCTAATGCCCTAAA